AAAAAGCAACCAGTAAAAAGCGCCCAGACCCAGAAAAGCCTCGTCGACTCATTCGATTGGGGGGGGAAAGAAAAAAGCGAGCCGCCACATAAAAAACATAAAAAAATAAAAAGCACCCAGTAACCCAGACAAAGAAAAGCCTCCTTCGACTCATTTTCCATCGACTCATTTGAATCCAAACCCCGACACACCCCCCAGAAAAGACTCAAACCCTCCACCCAAACAGGAAACCTGACCGCCGCCGACCACAGGCCCGAACGACCGCAATGAAACGACCTCTGGACGTGCACTCCCCAAAGCTTGCCACGACCACTCGCACTACTGGTCTGTCTCCTAGCCACCACCGCACCCTTGCCACCTTTTGTTCCTTCCCACCTTTTTTTTGTAAAAGCCCGAAAACGCCCCGCCAAACCTCATTTGAACTCCACGACATTCCCCGAAAAAGAAAGCGACGCTAAACGACAAAAAGCAACCGAGGTAAGCGCAGCCTCTGGCTGCGAACTGCAGCGTAGCGGAGCCTCCTCTACGTCGATCCCCGACGTAATTCCGGGGAACGCAACCCTATCAAACGTAACGTAATTCCGGGGAACGCAACCCTATCAAACGTAAAAACGTAACGGTGTGCCTACCCGGTAGCAAGTCGCTGGGCGCACGGTTGTGGGCTCCAGGCATCATTCCAAGTTCAACGCCTGGCGTGTCGTATTGCCTCACAGCGTTCAAATTGTCTCGCCGCGTGTTCTATCCCGGAAGACACGCGCAAGCAGTTTATGCTCCGGCAGCACCGTCGCCTTCTACGTGATGGGCAGTGTACGGTATTCCGAAAGATATGCGGAAGACGCGCGTATGCTCAAATTGTGTTGCCGCTTATGATCATACACCATCCACACTCGTAACGAGGTTACGAATTGAACAGAACTTGGGCAGTGTAACGGTACCTGACAGGACCGTCGCCTTCTAAGTGATTTTTCGAATCAAGCCCGTGCGCCGCGACTTGAGCTGCGACCTCGAGCAATCGGTTAGAGAAGGGAGAGGAGGCCGAGAAGAAGAGTAAGGAGAAGGAATCCATGGCACTGCGACTGCCCGGCATACATGCGGCTATGGTGATTAAACGTTATTGAAGGTGCTCAGATCATGCGTGGCAAGAGGAGAGGGGGATCCGGAACTGAAAGGTGAAATGGAAAATAAGGTAGAAGAGGTGGGAGAAACATCACTTACTACCAATGTGCCAGATACATGCATCCGCGGTGACCAAGAGTTAACTGTGATCCAGAAGAAGCATAGGTGAATGAGACAGGCTGAGGAGGAGAAGATGAGAAGTCAGAGAAGGATGGCAGGCGGCTCAAATAGCTGAGTTATATCAACAGAAAATAAAAGGAGAGGGTGGAGGCGCTGACCTCTTGATCAAAAGAGATGCGGCCAAGGTCTCAAAAACTACACGATCTTGACAGGCCAAGCCTGGGAGAAACAGGTAGGACAGAGGAGGAAAACTTGATCGCTATTGCGAATATGGTCATCAAAAGGTATTCGAGTCACCCAGGAGGAGGATGAGTCCAAGCGACTGTGTTTGCGCATGAGAGTCAAAGATGACCAGTCTTAGAGTTAAGTGGAGCAGCAGAATGGACGAGGGGAACGAGGAGCCAATATCATCGTGCGAGGTCAGCGCGGCTGTGGCTATGGCGGTCGACAGGCACTCGGAATGCGCAGCGACCATTCTTATGAGACGAGGCCGTGGAGAAACATGGGAACCGACCGTGACTTCAGCCTGTTCGCTTGTGTGCGGCAGTCTTTGACATGGTGAAGGCATGTTTGCAGATCGACAGAGGGAAGAGGGATAAAAGCAACAGCAGTAGTCACGTTGTGAATGCAAAAGGGATAAGTATAGAGTCTAACTCTACAGGCGAATCCAAAAGGAAGATTGCAGGGGCTGTGGGAAGAGGAGACAACGCAGGAAAGAGAGGAGTAGCAGCACCAGTCTGGTCACGGGTTTCAACCACCGTCTTCACGGGAATAGAACGGCCAGTCGGTATAGCGGTATTTTGGGCAACTTTCAGTCTAGATAAGAGCGATAATGACCGGGCGTTCTATTGGGGTGAAGACGGTCGCCTACCTCGCAAACGCCGGTGTCGTCAAGGAAACTTGTCATGGATTGTGGTTGTGGATAGTTGGAGAAGAGCTCCCGGACTTAGAGGAGGGCAGGTGAGAGGAGGGCAGGTGACAAGAGAGGAGGAAAAGTGGATAGCATCTGGAAGATTTGCGAGCTGTTTTCTCGCAAGGAAGGTGCCGTCAACAAAACTCTATAGTGGATTGGTACGTCTGTGACGATTTTCACGAAGGAAAGAATGTGAAATTTGAGCTTTACCCAGCCCTTGTGACTGAATGGTAGACACATTCAACAGTTGATGAGCAGAGAATAAGTCCGAATCCGGAGGGAATCAGATGGGTACAACATAACGTTAGGGATTACCCCCTTCACGAAAACAAAAATACAGAGATGAAGAGAACAGCAGAGGAATCGCGGAAGAGGATCATATTGCGGAAAGCGGATACTCCGTAGGTTAAGAAAGCAAAAAAAAACAGTCGTTAAAACGACAAAGAAACAACGGTCACCATCGTAGTTTGCCTGTGGCTTTCTCGCACATCTGACTGTCAACAACAAAAAAGGAATAGTTGTCGGCCGGCTAGGAGGGGAGCACGAGAGAGAAGAGAAGAAGGACAGTAATTCTGCCGACCTCCGGAGTCGATAGTGATGACAACTAGGCGGGAACGGAAATGCGGGGTCCATCACTGGATCGCCCTCAGGCGCGGATTTGGCGGCCAACAGCGAGATGGCGCGGGGGAAACAGCAGGAGGGGAAACGTTCGACAGCAGAGTGAAATATCAGCCGCTGGTGACATCATCGCCAGCAATACTTTCTCGTGGACTCATATGGTGAGGAAGTTGTCTACGTCCTCATCCATTCCTCATTCAATATTCCTTCTCCATCAGCTCCTCTTCCTCCGCTAGTCATATTGGATTCTTCGCTGTTGGTGTCCGAATCGGCGCCGTTGTCAGCGTCTGATCTGCTTTTGACAGTGCAAGATTCTTCTCAGAGGATGGAGCGACAAAGCGATCACGGCTCTTATCTAAAGTCCCAGAAAACGACACCAGGTCTCGTGCACCAGTCGATATCCATAATGGATCAAGATAAGACGGAAGAAACCTATCAGGAGACGATGGATAGAACGGATCCAAATTTGGATCAGCTTAAGACGGATGAAACCGATCAGGGTAAGATAGACAAAACGGATTCCGTTATGGGTCAGGATAAAACGGACGAAACGGATACGCATAAGATGGATAGACGGGATTGGGGTCAGATGGACAGAGCATATCTGCACGAGGCGGACAAAATGCATCAGGAGACGATGATTCAGATAAGCAACACAGTAAAAATGGAGAAAGAGGAAATGAACAAAGAGGATAAACATAGGAAGGATAGGACCGATTGCCATGTCATCGTTGACGATAAAACGGACAAGGATAAAACCGGGAAAGGACATAAGGTGCGACTTGATGGTCTCGATGGAAAAAGAAACGAGGATGAGGATGGTGTCCATGATAATCGCCGAAGTATGGAAGGAGAGCAACTGTCAAGCGATCATTACAGTGAGTGGCTGAAATCGATGGCAATGGCTAAAGGCGCAAGTTCGACAGGCACTGCCCACGTGGCAGTTTCAACAACAGCAATGAACGAGAATCGTGGCTACGATGGTGGGTGTTCGTCCGGCGTCGCAATTCCCGATGCGGCAGAAGTTACAGCCACTCCGGTGTCAGAGGAGCATAGCAGCGGTGATGCTCGTGTCCGCCTCGTATGTCCAGATAGTTATGTAAGTGCAGGGCTTGTCCCGGTCGCAGCTGCAGCGGAGAGAGGGCAGGAAAAGCGTGGTCCTTGCCGCGCAGATGCCGACTTGGCAACTGCACAGTCGCCGGGCACCGTGGCGAGCCCAAAAGAAATGGTCCAAGTGCCGGGTTTGGCACGTCCTGCCACGGCGGCGATACCAGTGATGTCTGACCCTCATTCTGAAGACGTGACAAGTTCACGTGAAGTCGACCTTGCACTATTGAATATTGTCACGTTTGCAAGTCGAGATATTCACGACGCGGCAAGTCCAGCAATGGGAAGCAAACTGGACCGCGATTCAGATAAAGAAGATTCTTCCCACGTGGCAACGGCTTCATCAATACCACGACAAAAGGAACCTAGAGATCATGATCAAGACCCCTCCTACGTGGCAACGCCCACAGTGGATGTCCTGGAAAATCTGCCAGGGGCGCAAGAGGAGGAGAAAGAGGAGGGCAAGGCGGAGGAGCAGGAGAAGGCGAATGAAAGGCGGAAAGACGTGCTCTTGGAGAGTAGTATCTCAGACCGTGACCGTCTCGAGAGATTTGAGCACTATACTGGTACAACTGCAAAGAATGATAATAGCGAGTCATTATCGCAAGATCTTCAGATTGTCGTTGATGACGTCATCGACACAGCTGTCGCTGATGGGGTGATTTCAGGTTCAGCCGTTCAATCCCCCGCCCAAGTAGCCAGCGACGGTAGATTATTTCAGGAGAGTTGGGTCGATGTTCGCGCTACACCACGCTTCTTCGACGACATGACCGAAATGGAATCCCATCCGTTTGATGTTGCGTTGGAGAGATGGACATATCAATCAGCGGGCCATGAATCAGGCGGGCAGCGAGAGTACCCCTTCCTTCGAGGTGAGGATGATGAAAGGGCGCAGGGTGGAGAAGTGGCGGCAACGAGAGATGACGGTCGTTCTAGATCACGAGATGCGAGCACTCGAGCTTGGCAAGAGGGAGGAGGAGCACGAGCAGGAGGGACGGGGAGGAGTGGTAGGGAGCGGACCACGGAGGCAGATGAGACCCAGCCTTCAGAGATTCACGCACGTTCATCGGCGATGGATCAGAGGAGCAAGGCGAAGACGAATGAAAAGGGAACGGACTACTACTTTCTCCTGAAGAAAGCAACCGGCACTGAGAGCGAGGGTAGCCCAGATACGAAAGAAGGAAGAGGAAAAGGATGGACAGAAGGAGGAGGAGGAAGAGGAGGAGGGGTCAGGGGACGAGAAGAGGGTTTTGATGTGAGATGGGTGGTTCCTCCAAGTCGAACCGAAAGAGTTGACGGCTCCACCACAATAGGATCCGTGGCTCCGAAGGGCCGCCGTGGGATTTCTCCCTCCGAAAAAGACGAGAGAGAGGTGGAGGAAGCCCTCCACATGGCAGCGAGTCCGTTTTCTGCTCCGTCGGATGGTCGATCCAAGCGCCAACGGGATTGGCAGCTGCAGGTGGACGGCCTCCCTTCCTCTGCTCGGCATGACATGGAACAGTCATCACTTAATTTCTCGAGAGAAAGTGAACATGGGAAGAACGAGGAGGAGGATGAGAAGAAAAAGAATGGCAGTGATGAACGGGAGAGAAATCTTGGGTCTACGGCCGCAGTATCGACAATTGAGGGGAATATCATGGGCTTGTCTGCTTCATCCTCGAAACGCTTCCGAGTCTTGGGGTTGCGTTCCGTTGGAGGTACCGGCGCGGCTTCGGCCAGGAGTTGGAGGAAAAGAATGGCATCCGATGACGATGATTGGAAAGAGATAGAGGACTGGATAAGATTGGAGGAGGAGCGGAGCAGGAGAGCGTTGATCCGAGAAAGGAGGAGGAGAAAGCGAGGCAGGATGACGATCGACCAAGTTGAGGCTATCGTCTATGACCGTGTCAGTCGAGCTTGCGAAGCTCGTCGAGGTCGTGCACAACATCGAGTAAAATTCTTCTCCCTCCCTCTCCCCTCTCTCTCTCTCACACACACGCGCACACGCAAACGCACACGCACACGCACACGCACACAGACACACCCACCCACAGCAGACTTACTACCATTCTTGTCACGGTTTTGGACCGACAGTCTGCTAAGATTGCAGGGTTGGTGTGAGTAAAGAACCGAGACGTGGTGAGTCCTTATCCATTACTCAAATGCATCCTGGGCACATTGTCAGGGTTCTCTTTTCCGATGAGTAGGTGAAAGTCTAACGAAACAGTGTGGAACAATCATGATTTTCTTTGTGGAGGTGTAGAGGGAACACGATAACACACATCTGTATAGCGAACATGACAACACACGTGTATAACGAACATGACAACACCCACACACACAGGTGTTTAGCGAACATGACAACGCCCATGCACATACCAGCATCACATCTGTATTTCGATGAAGTTCATGGGTGTACCAACTGATAGAGGCCCATTGGTTAGGGCTTCGCTTGACCACTCCCCCCGGCCAGAATGTCAGAAGAACTTTTTGCCGTCGTGAGCGGGGCTGTGGTGAGCACTCACTACTATGTTCGTTTTCCCCACCTGCAATTGTGGGGCGTGAGTGGGGCTGTGGTGAGCACTCACAACGATGTTCGTTTTCCCCACCTGCAACTGTGGGGTTGTGCAGGAACCTCCCAGTCATCAAATATGGTGAGAGTAACTCACCATCAGGGCCTTGTCTTGTTGCACTTTGGCCTTTTCTTGTTGCTCACCCAGGTGGTGAGTGCGAAGTGTGGTGACTGGTGGAGGAGGGCAGCCTTCCAGTATGAAAAGTCCCATGGTGAGTACTCACGACGGGAAAGAGTGTTTCAAGTTTGGAGAGTGGTGGGGCGGCTCTTAGCCAGCCCTTTTTGTGCAGCTGTGCTGAGCAGTTAAACCACCAGTACCTGGCCCAGCTATGGAGTCCGAGCCTCGGCCGACCTGTACGCCGACCCGTGCCGAGGCTCGGACTACCGGGCGCAGCCATCCCGAACGTGAAATGTACATAACGGAAAAAACGGGCAAAAAAAAAACAAAAAAAAACAAAGAAAAAAGAAAAATGAATGGTTCCCGCTATCATTTCGAAAAACGAAATGGGAATGCATCTTCCCGCTTTCGCGGGAACATGCATTCCCGTTTCTTTTCTCGAAGAGAGAGAGAGAGAGAGAGAGAGGCGGCGCGGCGAACTCGCCGCCCCCCCCCCCCCCTCTCTCTCTCTCTCTCTCTCTCTCTCTCTC